GGATTCGATACGTGTCGTGCATTGCATTGGAAAGTCGTATTACAGAATGAAATTAGAAACGCTATCGGATAAATTCACAATAGTCAGCGGCTGCGTGAGTTATCGCGGAACACACGAAACGCTTTTTACAAAATGTCGGGACGTGCCTGCAGGCGGAAAAGTCGCGTCAAAAGCAATCGTTCCGCCGCGAAAGGTAAACTGCACTATATGGGACAAACTGGTTACATGCCGAAGTTCTTTTTTTTTTACACACGCACAAGGGAAATTGTTTACAACGGTTGTTTCCTCACGCTCGTCAAGCTTCCAGAAAATAAAATTGAATTCCCGGTACGGCTGGATTGGGGTTGGGGAGGGAGAGGGTAGTGCTTCTGCCTTCTTGATAAATCGAACGGACCAGAGGGGACGGGTATAAAGCGGAACGTTTCTATTTCACCGGGGTAACCACTCGAGCCTTGTGGTCTTTTGCTCGGGGATAAGAAGGCAGCGATCTTGCGGATGAATATTATAGAACGAATGACCGCAAAGAGTTCCATTTTGTGCGGTTTAACTGGGGAGCTTCTTTTCCCTTTGGCGAACAGATTGGACATTATTTGCGGCTACTTCTTCGGATATTAACATTTGACTTGGAAGGAGGAACGGTTCCGCCTCTGTTAGAGGCGCGTTTCAAATGTTTCTGTTCCTTGGCCTCGGTTCCTCCTTAACGAGCTACTCGATCTCCACGAGATTTTCTTTTCCGTCGACAGCACAAGAAGAAATGAAACTGGGGTGGTTAATTGACTCGGCGTTGTCTCTCGGTTAAAAGTATTCGTTGTATTATCGTTTTTCATGGAAATACAGAATCGAAACGTTAATTGAGTTACAAGGAAATGGTTGTGGAACGGAGATCGACTAACGAGCCGTGCTTCTGGAACACCTGATACAAAAACGTATCGATGTCTCTTACAATTAGATGATGACTGACACTGTTATTCTGATGAAATGTGATCTCTGTGGATGGAATACATTTCTTGCAATTCGATATTGATGTGTAAAATGTTGTAAAAAACATGGGAATTTATCAAACCCGAAAATTCAACAAATAATGACACTTTGTGTGAGCAGAGTAGGTCAAGCCCAATGTATTGCAATTTCTTTTATGCCAAATATCACATTAAAGGGATAAAACCAGCTCTTGAACAAAATGCAAATTTTTCTTTCCCGTGGTTTATCTGGAGAACGGTAATAGGTACCGAAAAAAAGTTTCAACAGAAAATACATTGTTCTTTCACGCTTATAAAATTTTAAATAAAATTTTTCAAAGAGTTAAAATTTTCCAAATAACCCTAACAGCTGTTTATACTAATAGAGTATACATCGAGATAATTTTAAACGATAATATTCTACATTTCGTAAAATTTGTTGAAATATTTACATTAGTGAAAGTAGAACATCACTAAAACATTACTGTCACACAAAACGAAAAACGTAGAAGGTTCTATAAAAATCCCCTAATGAATGTACAAAATACGGGAGATAGTTAAAAATATAATATACTTTATTAGTAATAATTTTTCATGTTTACCGAAATGAAAAAATATTATTTGAAAAAATATACAAAGCGTATTTTAATTTTCTCTCATTGTTGATATGGATAATACGATAACAATCGCCAAAGTTGGGGGTGAGAGATCCATTTGATTAGATATAGGACCTTCTGCATACGTTAATCTGAAACGAAAGGGTTAAAGAAATACTCGTATCGCATCGCTTCTCGGTTCACACGGCGGAACAAGGACACGATCGAACGGCAGCAGATCGCCGGCATTATTTCCCGTTAGATTAATATCCCGTCGGTGCCACGGTGCCGTCGTCGTTTCGGAGGCGGCCTGTTCTGGTCGTTTGCCAGGAGCGCATACTATTTTGCGCCCCCGGAACCGGAAACACCCTCCGCGCAGCGGGACGATACGTATTCGGATATCATGAAACCGCAAGTCGGAGGTCAGGGAAACGGAATGACTGGCTCGGGCCAGCAGAAGCAGCCTTGAATAAATTAATTAACCACCGCCGAGGCGGGCGGAGAGGCAGGACGGAAAAGCGAGAGGATATTAAGTCTCAGTTAGGGTTGCGCACACCGGAATCCGTGGTTTCCTACAAAGAAGCTGGACTCCAAATGAACGTAATTAACGATTTATGGTATATTGACGACGTATCGATCCTGACGGATTTCCCAAGGGAGATTCGACTCCAAATGATTTCCATTAAATTATAAAAGTTAAAGAGATTCAATCACTTGTAAATATCTTAACCCGCTTGCACTTGACTTACAGTGGCCATTTATTTGATATAGTAAAATTATAAAATTCTATATTTGATATAATTCATTCTATAATATAACTGGACACAAAATATTAAAATACAATAGCTCTAACCACTGATTCGTGTATTATTTCTATTTAACAGGATTCATAGCTTAATCAATACTTCATTAGAGTAGAATGAATATATGTAATGAAAAAACTTTGTGCAAGGGGTAGATACCAATTTTAACACTAGGTTTACGGACATGCAATTGTACAGTTTCTTACTTATATTTTTAGAGGCTTTCGCATTAAATTATATCACAATATCCATCGGAATGCAAAATGAATTGTAATTGTACCAATTATTGGAAAAATAACCCTTGACACATTAAATTCAAATGATATTCTGTTCAACGTAATTACTGATTATTGCAGAACCTATTGAATTTCTCTTCCATTTTAAAACAACCGGTACAAATATTTCTGTGAATACATGAAAAGAATAAAACTTCGATTTTCCGAGACAAAGAGAAATAATAATCGTAGCTTTATTAAACTACATTAATACGATAAAATAATTCAATAACACTCCTGAACTGAAAAAGAACAAAAGCAAATATCAAACAATCAGGAGTCCAATTCCACCATAATTGTTCCACGAATTCAATATACCTGGTTGTTAATATAACATTCGAATGAAAATGGTTTATAAGAATTGAACGAGCTCAGAATAATAATTACACAGCTGCCAAAGTTTTAACGTGAGCGCACATACTTGCGGGAAAAACAGCGGCGGGATGGTAGATAAATACGAATCAGTTTGAAATAAATTAATTGATCCTCTGGGGACAGGTGTGAGCGGCAAATAAGGGTGGGGAACAATTAAATGCAGTCGACGTGTCATTCTTGCGGTGGCGTATATCGCGAATTCTAACTGGTGGTACCAAGAAATGGAATGCCCGAATAATTCGTAACAGGAAACGATGACATTTTCGGAAGAAATGAGGAGCGACCTCCGCGAATGCGCGTCACATTCCATGTCAGGTTCGCTTCCATTTGCTTATTTCGATAATTCGGCGCAACGTACCGAGCACCGTCGCAGTCCCATTTCCAAACAGATTACTCTGCCCGTATTACCGTTGCCTTTTGAAGTATCTCGCTGCATAGGAATGTAATAACGATACAGCCGAATGACGCTGCTTGCTACGCCAGTTAGAATGACAAACGAGGACGTCTTATTAAAGATCCATTCCAGTATACCTCCGCTGCAGAGTATCCGAAAGTTGTTCGGGATCTTTGAAGTTTCCCCACTTCCCGTCCAAATATACATACATAAAGCAACACCGCGCCAAAGTTGCTCGCTCCCCTGACTGATAATGGCGAACCGTGATTCTCTTCAGCCGTGTTAGGATGCACTTATACTATCCCATCAGACACGTGACATTTTAGTTCAGACAAAAATCCTGTTCATACCATCAGGCACGGGACGTTTTCGTTCACACAAAGTGCAGTGTCGTCGCTTTCCAGCTACACTCGGCAAGGTTTTTCGAGTCTATACCTTAAAACCTTGACTGTCAAATAAACACTCATCAAAATTCTTATGCAGTTGAAACAGGTTTATAATAAAACAGATTCGTTCTATACGTCGTCAAGAACATTAGTGTTTAAGTTTATGTAAAAAGTGGTGTCACCCGAATTCGGATGACGTGGCAGAGTATTAAAATAGTTCGAGGGTTGAGAAAGGCTGGTTATAATGATTTACGACTATCGATCCGTTTAAGCCAGTGTTGTAAAAATGAGTGCTGAGCCTCCAGCCTTAAAAGCTGTAATAGCATGAAAGGCCTTCCGAGTTCACGTTTTCAGGACTTAAGCCTTGAGCTGTAAAAGCTAATGTCTTCAAAGCTCGAGTGTTTGTAAGACATCAGATTACTGTTTATTATACTCACATTTCGGTACATTAAAGTGCAGATACAAATTTTCGTAAATTAATTCAGTCTTTGAGTGGTTAATACGTTCGCGACCACGCGTGTGTGTGACACGGCAATTTGTTTGGACTCTAAACTTTAGAGAGTTCGGCGTCACACACATATGTGCTGCTATGATGATATTAACATATATTGGGTGTACGGTATACCATACTGTCGCTTTGACTATATCAAAATATTACACACATATGACATTTATGTACAATAAAATGGTTTGTTTGGTTTATTTACTATATTTTTAACGTGTAAAAATTATATGAATAGCATATCATGTGAAACAATTACAAGAAAGGCATGGTCCATTGTAAGGAACGAACAATGTTGAGTCTTGAAATTTCGAAGACTCGAGCGTTTTACAACACTATGTTGTTGTTTTAAAACAGTGTGTTGTTGTTTTACAACACTAAGTTATTGTTTTACAATATTACGTTGATATCTTACGTCACTATGTTGTTATAAGAGATCAACGTGTCTGAACGCACACGGGACACTATGTACAAATGGTCCCATCTTATCACTTACAAGAATCTCCGTCTGCACTGAAATGTTACGAGTCTGAACAGATAATACAAACGCAGCCTTAACCATGCGATCTCGCGAGAAAGGAAAGTGGCTTGGAGCGAACGGGAAAGAAACGGTGCTGGAAATGATCCGGACTAGGAAATCGGAAAACATTTAACGGTTTTAAAAGCGACAGTATTGAATTTAAGTCTGCACATAATGGTCGCTTACTCACGTTGCAGGCTTGGTCTTCTTCGTCCCAACGGAAACGGCAATTGACCCTTCCATTGCACTGCAATTCCAACGCGATGCAAGTCGCGTCCTCGCAATAGTATTCGTCATCGCGGCAGGCTGGAAAAGAGGAAGGAACAAATGGATAAAGGGATTGCACACTTGAAATTTCAAATGGTCGTGTCGGTAAATCTATACGGAAGCAATGGCCGCATACCCCTCCCTATTTCACGTAATACGCTTTTCTTTGCTATTGTGCCGCTGCTGAAAAATATGTGAAGCAGAGCTATTGTTGAGTGTTATCGGATGAATAGTACGGTAAATCCTGCAAAATATTAAAGTCCTCGGGATATGAACGACTTCACAAATGAATAATTCGAACGCGTCAATTGAGTCATTTAACAATTAGTTCATTAATTATTTCATTTTGTCACAATTTGAGATACAAAATGAGTGTTTCCGAAATTATTCCTTGAAATAAAATAACGGGGTTATATTTCAACAAGGAAATAACATATCCCCTTCTTTAAAATAACATTCACAAAGGGATTTAATTAAAATTACACAATTGCATGTTACTTAATAATATCAACAATCGTCAGAAAACAAGAACAGAAATAATTTATCGGCACATTTTCGTGACCTCTATAAATCTAACAGATTCTAAGAGATTATTAATAACAACGATAATAACACTTATTAGGTATCTACTATTATTCGCTAAAGAATGTAAACCTTCGACACAAAAGCAACTATTACTCTCGTACACGGGAGCAGTGTGTATTGATTAAACGGTTTACAATAAGACAGCAGTGGTATCAAAGTATATAGCCGGCAATACTTTTCAATCTAATGTTAATGCAATTTCTCCGGTGGCGGGTGCGTTCAGAGTAGGCACGGAGATTTTCATTTAAAATCTTGCCGTACAGGAGATAGGAGAATAAGTGAATTTCTCGGGTTCGCGGGCAAGTTACTCGTAAGATATTAGTTTCGCGGGAATGGCAGGTGCGGAGGACCAAGAATTCTTCCCGTTCCAAGATAGAGCAGCGAATTCCGTGCGCGTAACCTCACCGCCGTTAGCTTACTCCATTTGCCATTCAGCCGGGATCGCCGCCATTGATATAGAATTCGGCGCCTTTCGCGGTCGATTATTCCCAACGATACGGACTTGTTAAGCAGATTATCCATTCCCGTTGGAATCATCGTAATTATTGATATCGTACGCGCGGAGAAACAAGAATCGAGTATTCCGTTAATTGATCATGTTATACGGATAATTGAGCGGACAATGAAACTTTTCAACGATAATTCGGGGATCTGTACCGACAACGGACATATTAAATTCTATTGCTGCAATTGTAATTATAATTGTATTCAGTTATTCGTTTGTGCTATTGCCTCGTGTATGTATATATTGAGGCTTCCCACAAAACATTTCGCCAGAATATTTCTTTTTTATTCCTACTGGAAAACAATTATTCTAATGTGCCATCGAAAAAGGTATTGATCGAAACGTGCCGTTTATCTACCTTTCGTGTTAGTTTCACTCGAAAACAAACTCACGTTTATCGACTTGTTCAGACTTACATTTCGATTACCGAATCTCCAGGGTTCCCCGAAATCGATTTTCTATATTTCACAATACCAAAAGTTCCTTTTCGGTTAAATATTTATGTTACCTTCATGGTTTATTCATATATACGTATCGCCTCAGCTGCATTTCATTTTTTGCCGCAAGTTTCGTAATCATGGATTTTATTTGTAATGATTTATGATTAGAATTTCAGATTCATATAATAATTCTACTTATACTCACAATAACATTTGTGTTTCTCTTCTGTATTTATTGTTCAACATTATAATACTTAAGTTTAGGAATTACAGCACTGACCGAAAAGTTGGATGCAATGAAAACAAAAGAGATGCGAGCAGTTTTTCATCAAGTAATGTATTATTCAAAGACTAACTTGAACAAAGGACAACCAATATTATTCGTCGACGAACATTATTAATGACAATCCCGAATGTATTAATAAATATCCGCCAGATAAAAACGCTGCAACAAAACGAAATATCTGCAAGGATTAAATATTCCATATTTAACCACGTATAATACGAGAGAACATTATAAAATATCCATCATATGCAGCATACATCTCTGATTAATCACGAGTGCGCATTATTTTACTGGCTTCCATACATAAAATTAAGTTATACGTATAGCTGAAAATGTTGTGTACGTTAATACTGTACGCCTATCACAATTTATAAATCGAGTCCCACTGAACAGTAGCGAGACTTTATATTTCCGGTGATTAGACTGGAAATTATGTAATTGGTAGGGGTGTGTCGTTCTGTATTCTGTGTTCTATATAATTTTTTTATTATTGCAAAGCACAGGGAGTGCCGTTAATTTACTAGATTTCCATTAGATGGTATCTCTCCGAGCCTGAACACGGGAACACGAATCGGGACGAACGGGCTGTGCCGTTGTTAACTTTAATGAAACTTAACATTGAAATTACCGTGCCGTGTGCCACGGACAAAGACTTTCGTAATATTCGCGTGGCGTGGTATGTAATGGAAATTAAAGTTTCTCGTTCAGCAGCACAGCTCGCGAAGTGGGCGGCAATTACCGGTGCGTGGCTCTCTATCGCGCCGAAGATCGTTAAAAACTATAATTAGGTTATCCAGCTTTGGTATGGGTTTGCTCGCAACCATCGATCGCGTTTGATAAGGTCTTCCCTACTCAGAAGCTCGTTTCACACTAATTATCAATTATGTTTCACTGGCTAATATTGAAATACTTTACATTTTTAGCAGAATAACCGGAGTAATTGTTTGTGCAATTAATGGTTAAGTGATATCGATCTCCTGAAACTATTTACTTATTTTTAATGAAACCTGTTATAGTAAACTATATTAACGTTAATACGGGAAGTTGAATCAATTGTGTTATTGGTTAATATTAATGGTCAGATGATACGAATTATTTCGAAACCTATTATTTCCTTATTTCTATCGAAAGCTGTTACAGTTTGAATCTAAGAGATAAACAAGAATATCAGATTTTATAATAGTAGAGCGAGCGATTTCCTTAAGTATTATCAGTGCAACGAACTGTGCGAAAGCAGCCGCGGTCGTTTGATCCATATGAAGAAACGCACATTTTGTCGTGTACGACAAACATTACAAGCGTTAGGTTTGCGGTGCGGATCACAGGCCTAACAGTAAAACAGCTGATGGGTGAGCGAGCGACAGTGCAAGTGCGAAAGTCATCTATATGTAAACAGGCGACGAATGACTGACCCGGAGAACGAATAAAGTAGAAATAATGATAAGGTGCGATGACCGCAGGGTTTGTATGTTTATAAATATGTGCGTGTGTGTGTGTTCTTGTATGTTTTTGAAAATAGCTTATATACGTGAAATAGATCGCTGGAGTACGAGTTTTAGAGTCGGAATATAGAGAGATCAGAGCGCAAAGAGAGGTAGCAAGAAGTATTTAAAGTTGAATATTCAATTTCACGCATGCGTAAAAAGTATACGCTATAATAAAGAGAAGGAAACGAATTCTAGGTTCGTTTTTTAACGTAAGTTCGGTTTAAGCTCGCTTACTTCAAACTTTAAAAAAGTTTTTGAACCACAAGAATTCTTTGATTTCAATAAAGTTTATGAGTTAACGACCAAAAGAATTCCGGGCATTTTATATAATATAATTTGCTCTTTCATAACAAGGAATGTTAGAATTAATTATTAACAATTTGACATCACAGTTCTCACATTATACTATTATCTAGTTATTTACCTTATTATATTCGTCATCGATTTTCTTATTCCAGTCGTTTCCAAACAATCAGGAATCTCCAGTTATCGTTAAACATCGTAGCAGTTAACGTATTAACACTAGAACTACCGTGCATTCAATACGATTAATATACAAGTATAATCCCTTTAAAAATTATAATCATAGATTCTTTAGAGTTTCTTCAGACATTCATTATAGTATTCAAGTGAAACTATATTTTCAAAATCATTTCGAATATTGAAACCTTTGACAATACCAATAATTGTGAAACAAAAAAATCAGAACCATCTTGACTGGTATGGTAGTTCTGGTGTTAATACTATTTTCCTTTTAAAAGTGATGTCGAAAGTCTAACAATCTTGCGATTAAAAAAAAGCACGCGAAAATGGAAACGGTGAACAGGTTCTACAGGGTTCTGAACAATTAATCGACGGTGTCTGTGAACTCACGTTTGTCTCCCGCGTCTCTGTCCCTGAGGGCTGTCATGACGGCCTCGAAGCTGCTGTTCAGTGCTTTCGGCTCGGCGTAAAACCTGACAAAGGCGATATTGGTCTGGATGAGCACGGTGTCGGCGATGCTGCCGCAGAAATTCTTCTCTCTCGAGGACATGTCAGTGCGTTCTTTGAATATGTCCACGAAGTTGGCGTCGCACTCGTTCGGTCGTTGCAGCTTGAAGGGATCCGAGAACGTCAGCTGAATCTGAAAGTTGTACGTGTTCCCCGACGGTAAAGACCAGCGAACTCTTTTTGCTGGTTATGAACGGGGGATGCTCAAAGGACTCGTACCAATTAGATGGCGCATTTTGCGCCGGACGCGATTTCATTCGACCAGAAAGGATGCCTCGGATGGACATTAGAAGTGAAGGAATACGTATATACGACAATGGGGCGCGTCTCATATTTCATTTTCTATTCAACGAGGTTTTATGCGATTGCGATAATCTTGGACGTTTTGTCTAGATGCACTGGCAGACGTGCGCCGGTGATTAAAATACTGGTTCTCCGTCACGATCGCGCGAAAGATTCCAGGGTTTTTCTGACGATTCACATGCTATGAATATATGAGGCAAAAATGTCTACGAGTGTTGGTCATAAAGTAAGTAACCACTTTTTGCTAAAAAGCAACATAGACGGGCAGAAACCTGATATTTTATTAGATACCGGAAAAATGTCGGGCGGTTTTCTTTTTATTGGTGAACCAGGATCCGATTTCAATTAGTACTTTATTATGTAGTTTAATGAATGAAATTAGTATTAGCATGTAAAATGTACTCCAGGTTTAAATTTTTGTTTTAACATGATTTAATGTTTTGTTCAAAATCTGTATAACAGTACAAATATTGCACGCAAATTTTTTTAGAAATATTTTATTAACCGAATACCTTTTTCAAAATGGGAATTAGAGCGATGTAATTTCCTTATTAACCAACTCTCGTAAAAATTAATTTTGGTCAATCTAAGATGTAAAGGTTTCCTTTTCCATAATCTGTTTCTTGAAAAAAGAAGTCTAAGATATACCAATTGTAATAATAACTGTCCAGCCTACCACAATGATTTCAACCTTATAACACTTGTATGCTCAGGGTAAAATGGATGACAATAATAATTAAACTATTACGTCTCCTTCAGAATATACTCAATTCTGCTTTTATACACTCGATAACTGCCGTCTAAAATAAATTCATTGAAAAGAAACATACTGTACATACAGAAAAACAGAGACTCGTCTCAGACATAAGAAATCAGTAGAATAATATAATAAACTATATAAAAGCATACATAAGAATTTTGGTAATTGCGTTGAAACCAAGTGACGCAAAAAGGAAAGTAAATTCTTTTCGAATTCGTTTTAAATCAAACAAATTGTGCAAGAAGACAAACGATAATTAGTGTTAAATCGAAATCGTATAAAAACAGAATTAGAAGTAAATACTTTCTTCCGAAAAACAGACGACAGTTTCTATAAAGGCCGAGTAAAAAGAACGCCACGTGTCTCGGAAAGCAAAGCACGCTCTTACCTTCCACCCCACCTTGACCGTGATGTTCCATAGGCAGTCCAACGGTATGCCCTCTTTCTCAGCGAGTTTCTTTCTGTCCAACACTTGGTCACTGTTGATAATCGCCTCCATCCCGGACACGTCTTTCACGCACGGCTCCGGTTCCGGCGGCACCCCCGCTGTGAATCACATAGTTATTGCAGTATCACACTTTCTTCGGAGGTTCCGACAGTAAAATTCAATACCCCGTTTTCATCCGTTGCCGAATAAAATGTCTGGGACCCCGAGGATCCGCCGCGTTTCCTTTAAAACTCAATAGACTGTTCGGTGAACAACCGACGTATTCCGACCGGTCGCAAAAAGCCGTCGCGGGAAC